GATTTTGAGAGTAGCAAGTAATGATGATGGTCGGATTAGAATCTTTTTGGATGAGGGGTAAAATTAGTAATTTTGGGTATAAAATTTGGTTGGAGGTCAGTTAGAAGGTTAATGAGGGTTTCTACAAGGTTTGGATGTCTTGAAAGAAATGTTACAATGGAGAGCTAAGATTTTAAGAATAATAGGTGATAAGGATTATCATATTAGAAATTTTGGTGTAATTGGTTGTTTAAGGGTTTTGTAGTCTAGTGAGAGTGTTCAATGGTTTTAGTGTTGGAATCATGGGAATTTGGGTTGTGGGTAGGCTTGGGAAGTGTTGTAAATTTATAGTCTTCGATTCATTAAAATGGAATCTTTGACGAATGGATGATGAATTCAAAGAATTTAAGGATGAAATTCGGTATGATTGGTTGTTTAAAGGTTTTGTTCCATGTAGTGGAGGTTAATCAGGCAACAGGTGTGGTGATGTGGTGCAATCATGATTGTTAGAAGGGAACCTTGTAGATTTAAGGGTATTTAAGCCGAAATTTGGTTTCTTGAGGTTTTGGCACATTCTAAAGAGATTGGTGAGGTCTGATCAGACATCTGGAGTGTGAGAAGTCAGTTTAAAAAGGGACCGAGCAAAAATCGGGTGTTAATATGTAACCTTTGATGTCATAATTAAAATTGATAAGAACACAAAAATATTACAAAAAAATACAAAAATTTTATAAAAAAAATATTTGTATATACATCTCTAATATCATATATTCATCACATTAAATAAAAAAGTGTGATAAATAAAAATTAAAGTCTTAGCTTTCCCTTTCCCTGCATCCTACAGTTCTCATATGCAAAAGCACTTATGCATTTGCTAGTAAAAAATAAATAGATATAACATCTTTAATGTCATTAATTGAACTCTTAATTTAATATGCAAGTGAATGCATTTTATTGAGCATAATGATATATCCAACAAGGGTACGTAGTCTATCCAAATGGAATCAAACACCTAACCCTTGTTGGATATACCATTATGCTCTCTCCAATAAATTTTCATTTTTCACGGGATTTATTGTGGAAGCAGGCAGTAGGGCCCAAACACGGCATTGAATAAACGTTATTTTGTCCATTAGCAAGAAAATCTTTATGGTATGTGGCTGGGAAACCCTAAACCTTGCTTGGCGACAAGCTCTTTAGACTGTGAGAGGACGTGGGTGATGACATTGACATGGATAGGCACTGAATACAGTATATAGTGATGCGTCGGTTAGCATCCAATATTACTGGTTTGTGGTAAGTTGGTGGATATACTTCTGATATATAGATCTCTGCAACTGTTCCATTAATAAGAGATTTCAAAATGTTTTAAGGGACCCCACCTTAGCTCCTCCCTTGCATCAATGGTTCATAAATAAGGGATTGTTTGTTTTCCATTATTAAATCTCCCAAGGTGAATGAATGATAGTTTCCACTTTCCAATAGTATTGTATGTTAGCTTCATGTCTGCATACTGTGCTTTGAAGATTCTCTTATGATCATTGAATTTTTGTTTGACCGTTGGGGCTGCTTGTTTGGTTCTTCTGCAAGACATTTTCTTATTTTGCCCTTTTTCTCCTGTTCTTTATTGTTTGTTCTTCTTGTTTAATTTACCTTTTTCTTTTTTTTGAGGGAATGCCTTTATCAATTAGGCTAGCTGGAAATCTTAGTTTCAAAGAGAAATCATGATTCTTTGTAAAGGAATATGCTTTATCAAGGGGCATCTTCTATTCCCAACAATTAAAGAAAAGAAGAACAAGAAAGGCATCTTCTGTTGGAAGAAAAGAAGAGACTGAGCTTCTTCTATTCTCAAAATCAATAAACAAATGCACAAGTGAAACACTTTATTAGGGAAAGTGAAAGTGAAAGGCCCCTTCAATTTCCCATATATTGAGAGAGGTGAAACAGCAGGTGGCATCCCTTTTACATTGGAGAGCTTGCTTCCAAGTTCCAACTTCCAACTAACAAAGAAACCAGCCCACAAAAAGCCGGTCCCCACTCTGGCCTGGCCTCCTTGTTCAGGATTCAAGACTTCCTTGGCATGCATGCCCCAAAAATGGGGCCAATTAGGAGTTAAAAAAAAGAACTCTGATCTCTTTCCCCCAAACTCTTCCCTCATCTCTACTCATAGCACACATCAGCCATACATTAAGAACATCTCCCTTTTTATTTATGGGGTGAGTTCCCAATACATGACAGTAGTGTCTTGTACTCATAGCACACATCAGCCATACATTAAGAACATCTCCCTTTTTATTTATGGGGTGAGTTCCCAATACATGATAGTAGTGTCTTGTCTTGTGGGTATGGATGTAGGAAGAGTTTGTGGGTAGTGATGACATTGAAAGAATTCATGTCTCAATGCAGAATCCAAATGGGGTACAAACAAGAGGCTCTGGGATCTGTTAAGAGTGAACATACCGGTAGGTCCCATGAGGAGCACTGTAGTGTTCACTCTTGTCCTGTATCCCGTTGTACAAGATTTCCTCAATGGAGTGCGGATTAACTGAACTTGATGGCTGTATCATAGGCTGTTAGACCAATAATAATGCTCCACACTAGTCATAAAGTGCATATACCCTACAAGGCTACAACCACTCAATCTCTCACTTTTTATATAGAACTAGTATAGATTGCGAAGTGTTATTATTTGTCTACAGTTCAGCTAGTCCACTCTCCCTTAAATCCCTACTTACTACCCGACTTGAGATTTACTTCTCACACAAACCTCACAATACATCATAGTTGTACATTGGGAATATCTCCTCATGGATGACAACAGCCAAGTACAGAAAATGCTCTCAATGCACGGCAAAAAGTTCTATGAGATTGGTGTGAGGAGCATTCCTTGTGGAGCAAATTGGATTTCCCTACTACCCCCACCAAATCTAAAGATTCGATTTGCTGGACAGCCCTTCAATTATTTAGTCGAAAATGCCATTATGTGAAACTTTATAATCTGAGAATAAACCATGATCACACAACCCCGCTTGTATTAGTATAATGGGATTCCCCATGTTAGAGGTTGAGATTTCTCATTTGTCCTCCCAAATACCAATTCAGATCAGTTCGTCATAAAGTGCACCTCACAACATAATTCAGCCATGCATTTAGAATATCTCCTTAATTGTAAATTTTTATTAATGGGGAGATATTCTCTATGCACAGCTGAAACGTGCTGTGAGGTAAGTGTGAGGCTTGCTCTGCAAGGAGCAAATCGTACTCCTGAAATACAATGAATTCCAAATGATATTTATTTATTCTATAAAAATAAAAGGGAATTACAAATTAAATATTTATTTATTTTTATTTAGATCCTATTGGAATTCGAAATTATTGTATAGAGAGTAACTGAAACATCCACGTTTCTCTCATGTCCCTACGCCCATCTGACGCATCTTTCAAAATTGTTGGAACTCCTGGACTGAGAGAGGCTAGTAGTTGTATACGATGATCATCAATTATTCATATCCACCGTCCAGGTTGCTGCCTTGCCGGGAAGGTAGCAATGGGTTGCTTGTGGGCCCTTGTGGGTCAAGGGCCTCATGTCTTTTAGTTCCAACCCAGTTGCTTGTGGTACCTTCTTGAGACGTGGAATTCACGGGCTGTCTTGTCCATTGCGAAGGACGCCAAATTTGATTATTTATGGATGCTTTGGCTTTGGTCTCACTTAAATAACAAAGCGTCAAAGCCTCCTCAGGCTTCAAGGTCAGCCAGCCTTCACCCTTCAGGGTAAGGCACAGGTCTGAGCTCGGAGGCCTCTAAATATATATATATATATATATATATATATATATATTATAGAAGGTGAAAGGTAGTTGGGCATGGTCCCTTTCAATGCTCCCCATTCTTTGATTTCTTTCCACTTCACAATATCAATGGAGCCGGCCACTTTTGACTTTCAATCTCTCTTTTTCTTTTTCTTTTTCTTTTTTTATTTTATTTATATATATTAATTTCAATTAATTTAAGCGTTATTTGGTTTAAATGAGAATTGAAAACAGCTGAAATAGAATGTCATTCCCTGGAGAGGGGGGAAAGAATTGAATGTCATTACTTCAAATGAGGGAATGTCATTTCATTAAGAACGGGAATGAGATTCTGATTCCATCCAACCAAACAATTTGAATTAAAATGGGTCATTCTGATTTGAATCCTAAACTCGTATTCCCGTGAATCAAACAGGCCCTTAAAATTATCTTGTCAAAAGATTCTCAATGCATTGTTAAGAAGAAGAAAGGATATTAATCTTTGGAAATATGGACTTTCCCTAATTCGACTAATACCTAAAATCCGATGACATCAAATACTTTGTTCTCTAATTTGATTTATGCACCCAATGACCCCCAAAACGGATAATAGTTCTGAACCTGACTCACCATGAAACGGATCACCAGGGGTCTGTTTTGTGCGTACCTGAATCCGACCCGATCGGATTCAATGCCGGTCCGCAAGCTGCTCCCTTATTCATTTCCTCTCTTCGAAGGAACTTGTTTCCCCAAGCTATTATTCCCTCGCTTATCAGACAACCATCTGTCTAATCACAACAACTGGCTATCCAAGAGTAAGGATGCCAGGAACAAGCAAAGCATAAAGAGAGAATTTCCTCAGCAGTCGTGTATACACAAATGAGATGTACCATTTAGCTTCCAATGCGTCGATTCGATGCAAAGATCAGAACCGTTGGCTGAATAATATTTTCAGATATTGTAATTCTAAGATGCTTTCTAATACAATCGTATGATCTAGATCAGTGCCATCCTAAGTCCAAGACTGACAGAAAATATCATGTTAATGGAGCACAATATCAGTTCTGCCTGAGTTGAGGAGTGAGGACCCAAGGAAAGGATGTCCCATTGCCAATAGGACCTTGCGTAAACCAAAATGCAGCCTTCTCTGTTTGGCTCAAAATCACAAATCCACCAACAAATCAGAAATCAGAAATGACAAATGAATAAAACCTGGAGGAAAACAATAAATTAGGAAAGATAAAAAAAAAAAGGCTAACCTCCAAGCCAAAGCTAACTAATCTCTAACCAACCTTCTTCTCATCTTTCTCTCCACACTCGACCCAAATCACCCAATTGAAAATTGAAAGCTAAGTAGAAAGGTACTTCCTCTCCCCTTCCCCTTCCTCTCCAAGCTCTTCAGTCCCTTTAAAGAGCTTCTCACAGAAACCTGAGTCTTGCTTTCCTCTCTCTCATTAATCCACTTCAACTCTACAAAGAAGGCTGCTTGTGGGTGTGGGGGGTGGGGGAGAGAGTTTAGTTTCCTCTTTTCTTTTTTCTGGGGCTGCATGATGACTCTTACAATCTCATGGAATTTGGGAATACGCTTAGAATAGGATACAAATCGCGGACAACAAGCGGATGACTGGAGCCTTGAAAATTAGTGGGTTTTGGAGAGTTCAGAATTTTATATAAGATGTTTGGGTGCAAGTGTTTCTATTGGAATAGAGTCTCCGATTACTTTTTGCCAGAACCAGAGCTTTTTTCGCTTCCAGCGCCCATCCGGGAATGGCCTGAAGGTAGGAATGCCAAGAAAAAGTTGTAGATTTTACTGTTTTTGTTTTGTGAATAATGTTATGGGGTTTGCTTCTTTTCTGGGTTGATTTGTGATTTTAATATTTTCCGTTGTTGATGACTTGATGGGTATTGGCTCTTCTTGAACATGCCTTGCCTGCTCATTCTGCATCAACTGAGGCTCTGGGTCGTTTTCTTTCTAATATGGGTTTCCAATTTTGTTGTTGTTTCTGTGTTATCTCTCCTGATGGCATGCATGCAGAGATGGATTTTGGGTTTCTGACTTTCTGTATAGAATGATGGGTGGAAGTTATGGGATTATTGTGTATTTTACACCCACACTGGGATTTAACATATTAGTTTATGCTTGTCCTATGAAGAAAAATTTTGCTTCTCTTGCCGACAATCCCTTCACCCCTCAAAAAGAAAGAAAAATAATCATAGAATTAAATCAACGATACTTTTGGTCGACCTTGACAAGGGGTTCGAATTAGTTTATGTTTTGCAGGTATGGTATTTCGAATTTCATCAGTTATTTATATCCTAGATGTTGTTCTCTTTTTGGTTGTCTTTGAAAGCCCCATACCCCTCCTCCCAACCTTATATCTTGACTAATTATTTGTTAATATGTTGTTCATCATGCCTCTTTCAGCTTCCTTTCGATAGGGATTGAGAAGGGAGATATGCTTATCATTTATGTAAAAAGTTTGCTTCTTTTCTTGCTTTATTTCTGGTAATGTGTTTATGTGGTTGTTAGACACCCTAAAATACACTGAACCACCTGAAGTATCAATCTGAACCATCCAAAGAGCTATCTAGTGGGGGATGAATTACGACCCAAATATTGTAGCAATTGGTCTATGGATGGTCATATCTATGAATAATGAATTATAGCACGTAACTTGTCTTATATTCTCATTGCTAATGAAAGAAATATTGTCAATGTAGGCACCATAAAATACACTGAACCACCTGAAATGTCAGTCCAAACCATCCAGAGAGAAGTCTAGTGGGGAATGAGTTATGGCCCACATATTGTACAATTGGTCTATGGGTGGTTATATGTATGGCTTATAATACATTACTTACTTCATATTCTCATTGCTAATTTATAAAGAGATATTGTCAATTGCTGACCAGTTTCTAGATCTTGTTTGGATAGGGTGTTTGGGTAGCATGGTTTTTAGTTTATGGTCCATTACTGAGATGATTCACTAATAGAGCGCTCAATATTTGATGGGTGGGTGGAGTACGTGAGCATATATGTATTTTTTCTTTCAGTGATCTATGAATTTTCAGAACATGCAAATTAATATTTCGGATACTATCTCTCCCCTTTGGTTCTCTTATGGTCCTTGATAACGGTGGAATGATGAAACAAGATTTGTGTAGTTGAGAAGGTTTTGTTGGGTGGAATTTGCATTGTTTCTTTGGTGCTTTCTCACTTGATAATATTGTTTTATGACTAAACCTTTAATATTCTTGATGATTTTGATTCATTCGAGCTTTTGATGAATATGAGACAGATCTATTTTGCACTTTGTAGTTTATGTTGGGATAAGGCATGTATGATGATGATGATGATGATGATCCTTTGAGCAGTTTATGCAACTCTCCTGCTTTCTTGATGTTTCATTTGGTTTTAGTCTTTTGGATGGAGTTTCCTCATCTGATATGTCCCATACCACATTCATGATTAGCAGAGGAATTGTAATAAGCTAATGACCAGTAGGATATGCCTCTGTTTCATTTGGAAATCCTGGTTAGTTGGATAAATCATAACAATTATGTTTACTGGTCTGTTGTCTTATGCTCCATCTTGAGTTACATCAATGTGAATATATTGGAAAGCTGTATTGTGGTATTAAATATTCTTGTTCATTTTAGAACCTGCACTTCTGAGTCACACTTTGTCCTACCTAACAATTCATAATTTTTAATTATTTCTTTGCCTAAGAAAAACCAATATTGGGATTTTATTTATGGGGCCACTCTTGAGAAATTTCAGGGAGATTTGTCTCCGATGAATTTTACAGAAAATAGCATAATTAGACTAGTTGTTCTTATGCCATGGGCTACCGGCTCCAAAACTTTCTGTTACAGTTATTCTTAATGATTGTAGGAGACAATTGTCAATTCTGAATATTTCGTTGGTCATCTTTTCAGGCCAAGGCTTTGGTACCGGAAGAATATGTCTAGGAGAAATAGAAGTTATTAAGATCACCAAGTTTGAAAGTATTTGGAGCTGCAATTTTTTGAATGACAAGAGGAATGGTATTATATTCTATAAGCCGACAGGAATACCAGATGATTTCTACAGCCTTGGTCACTACTGTCAACCAAATGACCAGCCTTTACGAGGGTTTGTTCTTGTGGCTAGAGATGTGGCTACTCATGAAACAGAAGTTGGCCATTTATGCAACATGTTTGAAGAGTTCCCAGCTCTTAGAAAGCCCCTTGACTATATATTAGTTTGGAGCACAGATGAATGGAGTGAGGACAATCATGATGGATGTGGTTACTTTTGGTTACCACAACCACCTGAAGGTTATAAAGCTATGGGCCATGTGGTTACCAACACGCCAAACAAGCCTTCACTTGAAGAAGTGAGATGTGTTCGGGCTGATCTCACAGAGACCTGTGAGGCTTATTCTTTAATATTTGATACTGATTCAAGTATTCACAAGTTCCCATTTCGGGTCTGGAACACAAGACCATGCCATCGGGGGATGCTGGGGAAAGGTGTTTCTGTTGGGACATTTTTCTGCAGTAGCTATTTGAGTTCTGAGGATGAGCTGAGCATTGCATGCTTGAAGAATGGTGATCCAACTCTACATGCAATGCCAAATCTAGACCAGGTCCATGCACTCATCAAGAACTACGGACCCACTGTTTTCTTCCATCCTGATGAGATTTATTTGCCCTCCTCTGTGCCATGGTTTTTTAAAAATGGTGCTTTGTTGTACCAAAAAGGTAAATCAGCTGGAGAGGCGATTGATTCTAGAGGTTCAAATTTGCCAAGTGGTGGGTCTAATGATGGAGAGTTTTGGATTGACTTGCCGAATGATGACCAGAATAACATCAAATATGGCAACATAGAAAGTGCAGAATTGTATGTTCATGTGAAGCCAGCTCTAGGAGGAACCTTCACTGATATTGTAATGTGGATTTTTTGCCCATTCAATGGGCCAGCCACAATCAAGGTTGGGGCAGTTAATTTTGCACTTAATAGGGTAGGGCAGCATGTGGGTGATTGGGAACATTTCACACTCCGTGTGAGTAACTTCACTGGTGAGCTCTGGAGTATGTACTTCTCACAGCACAGTGGGGGAGAATGGGTGGATGCTTGTAACTTGGAGTTCATTAAGGGAAACAAGGCAATTGTTTACTCATCAAAGAGTGGTCATGCAAGCTTTGCACATCCTGGAAACTATATTCAAGGATCTACAAAGCTGGGGATAGGAGTTAGGAATGATGCTGCTCAAAGCAACTTTTTTGTGGATTCAAGCATCAAGTATCAAATTGTTGCAGCAGAATATCTTGGAGATGGAATTGTTACTGAGCCTTGTTGGTTGCAGTTTATGAGAGAGTGGGGTCCAACCATTGTGTACAATTCAAGATCTGAACTGGAAAAGATTATCAGTCTTCTTCCATTTTTGATCAGGTTTTCAGTGGAAAGCATTTTTGATAAGTTCCCAGTTGAGCTATATGGAGAGGAGGGACCAACTGGGCCCAAGGAGAAGAACAATTGGGTGGGGGATGAGAGAGATTAACATAACCCCATGGTCCACTCACTTGAACAGTCCCATTGGTGTTGTTCCATACATGTTAAAGAGTGTGCATTCGGAAATAGTCAATCTTGTACCAGTGTATACTATCATTCTTGTAAACATATTGTAGAGCATGGAGGTAGAGAGAGAGGGAGATTCTTCTGTTTTAAAGTAAGTTTGTTGAAACAAAGGTGAAATTTCAGGTTCTTGCATGTTAGAAGAAGTCAAACAATCAAGAACCAGATGAATTGAAGATTGCAGGAGTACCTTTTAAACAGATCTACAGAGAAGCTGCACGAGAATACTGTCTGTACTGGTCTTGTAAGAAGATGCTTTTGATGGTCTAGCTATGAAACATTTGGATATCAATGGTTTCCTTGTCTAAGTTCACATCTCTTGTTTGGAACCAGATGGCGACATCACAGCAAAGGAGAAAGCAATTCTCTGTGAATCAGACTAGAAGAGCAGTGTCCCTGGAAGGGGGATTCATACCAGCTGCACTAATGCTCCTATAGTCTATACCAGGCTGCGGAAGCTCCTCTACCCCTTGAACCCATATACTCAGAGGAGTCGTGGCTGTGCTAGCTTCACTTTTCTCTCTCATTCTCTCTGTCTCTTCCTCCCGCCATCTCTCTTTGGTGTAATGTAGAAGTTGAGTTTTGGGAAAAGTTGCGAGTTTGATAAAAAGATTGAATTGTGCGTATGGTTTGAACTTTTCCAGTGATAGTGATGCCAGTAACTGAAAATTCAGGTACTCACTTCTCATCAGATTGCATATACTACACTGGAAGTCCATGTTTTGAGTGTTGTAAATGCTTCCTTTATGGTTCTCAGTAGGATTTTGTGGTTATCAGTTCTTGTAGTTTGGTATCTTTTTGTAGACACAACGAATGTGAAATGTGTGAATCTGTCCATTTGAAACCAAAATTTATTTACCAAGAACCTGTTTAAACTCCTTTCCTTGACAAAAAGAAGTGAAGAGTTCACATGGACGAATTAAGGGAGCAAGCCAGATTAACAGGCAGTCTTACAGGTGGAACTTGGGTGGTATTTCCAGAGAGCTCCACCTGTTCTCTTTTGCATGTTATGTTTTATTGTTGGACTGTATCTGGTGAAGGCCCAACTCCACTAGATTATAGAATTGTTTAAACAAGATATTGCCTGAGTCTAAAAATCTTTTTTTTTTTTTTGGGAAAAGATCTCTCATTGTTAGGTGTAACTTTTTTTATTGGATAGCTGAGGAAAGGAATTACAAAATTCGGGCAAATGAAGAGTCTGGCGCATCTGATAGAACAATATAAATTATATAATCCAAGTCCCAAGCAATAGAAGCAGCTGCTGAGATTTCTTTGTGGTGACCTTCATTAGCTAGCAATCTGCTGCTTGATTGCCTTTCTTATGGGTGTGGTTGTACTTCACTCTTAGATGACCTTCACAGGCAATCTCATGGCACTCTTCTATTAATTTTAAATCTCCAAGTAGCTTCGAACGAACCCTTGAGCACTTCCATAGTTGTCTTCGAGTCACCTTAGATAATTACTTGCTCCGCTCCTATTTCTTTGGCCAACTTGTGGGCTTTCAGCCCCACTCTCATCTCTGCTTCAGTTATGGTAGATGAAGCTATCACAACTACTTTTATTTTTAATATCTCTCCCTTATGATTTCAAGCAATGTAACCATAGGCACCACCTATCCTCTTGAGTTTTGATGCATCGAAGTTCATTTTAATTTTGTTAGGACTAGGAGGGGTTTACTTCACCCAAATAACTCATTTTTCTTTATTTTTTACGTGGGCCTGCCTCTCCTATGCCTCTACATAGTCTCAAAAGTTTTGTAACACTTTAGACTCAGTTTGGATGCAAATATGTACAATACAAATACATACAAAATACAAGGTGTGGCACTCTACGCATTTGTATTTGTACTCCTTCCAAACTGAGCTCTACATAGTCTCAAACGTTTTGTAATACTTTAGGCTCAGTTTGGAAGGAGTACAAATGCAAATATGTACAATATAAATACATACAAAATACAAGGTTTGGCACTCTACACATTTGTATTTGTAGAATGCGAAATTTTGTATTTTGTATTATTTTGTATGTATTTGAACTGTACATATTTGTATTTGTATTTATTTATATTTGTACTCTACTCAAACTGAGCCTTAGAAACAATTTCTGGTGTGCTATATAGTTTTGTTGTTGAACACCTTTTCATTTCTATTTTTCCATGGATACCACATAAATAAAACAGGCTTTTTCCAAACAATAGCTGGTCTAGCTTTATTTTGCTTCAGTGGACAGATCTGTCAACCAATCTAACATCGATGGGGTTTGTTGCGTGGATTGGGGAGGTGGTATTTGGTCCAAAGGATGTGGTCCACATTTTCCGGAAGTCCACAAATCATGCAATCTAAATTACAATTGATACCTCAAATATTATTCATATTAAATATATTATTTTATAAATATATATGATATTATTTATATTATATATATATATCAAAATATATTTAAAATATTATTTATATTTTAAAATTTCTCTTTATTTTAAATAAATTTATTCGTCAAAAAATACTTTTCATTAAAAAAATTCTAGGATTTGGGTCCTTACGGGGAACCCATCTCCATTAGTGATCAATGATGGATGATTACTTTAACCTCCAGAGATCGATGTTAGGGATGGGGATTTATTTCAAAACCGGGTCGACAACAGGGAATGTAATCCCTGTCCCATACTCGCCTTGTTACCTTTCCTATACACATTCCAATTTTTGTTGCAAGTGTTTATTATGGTGTCCACTTTACTATTGTCATCAACCTGGACTCATTTCTTTAAGGGGTACTCGTTTGACCAAGTACATTTCTTGTCATTGCCAATTAGGGATGGCAACAGAGCAGATTTGTGGAAGGTTTTGTAAATTCAAAACCCTACCCACCTCCCTAAACCTTCCAACCCATAACTGCCCCAAAACCCATAGTGGGTAGGACTTTGAAAATCCAAACCCTCCCCACATATGAAAATGTAAAACCCTCCTTGACCCTACCCTTCTCGCATTCGAGGATAGGACAGCTTGGGTTCTAGAACCCACATCTAATTTCCTATTATTTATTATTATATATAAGTAATAAATAAACACAACAACACAAACAAGCAATACAATTTTCAATTATTTGATTAAAATAATTATTTACTCTTTCATTTATCAATTATCATGGGTGCCCCAAGATACTTCCCTTCTTTTTCTTAATGGATTTTTATAAAATTTTCAACTATTTTTTAGAGTTTCCTTAAGAGATTATCAAAAAGAAAAAAAAAATACAAGCCTGACTTTTGATAATTGGATTGTTGGTCAGATGCCTTTGCATAAGCTTTCAATATATTCATTACTGTAATATTGGCACTTATGGTAGCTTTTAAAAAAAACCTTCTACAAAATGTAATATTGGAATAATTGGAAGCCCTCTTTCTGGTTGGTTGCCTAATTCCTCTTTTTCTATTACCATTGTTCCTATGAATCTGCCAAGTGAGAGCTTCCTCGCACATGACAAATATATAACGGGATAAGAGGCCACCTTATCTTATCCCTCTTGTTGGGCAAAATTTTTCCCATGGGGAGACATTTACTAGCACTTGATAATTTACAGTAGTGATGCCCATGATCAAATTTACCCATCTTTGGTTGAGCCCCAATTTTTCTAAGGACTTTTTAATATAAATCCATTCAATTTTATCATATGCTTTTTTTTAATCTATTTTATAGGCGACCAAGCCTGTTTTACATTTTTTTGTGGTTTATGGTATGAATAATTTCATGAGTAGTGAATAATTTAATACGTAATACATGATTTCTCTTTCCAGCACAAAGAAAGACTAATGAGGGGTACTACTTTTTCCAAATTTGGTTTAACCCTATTTACAAGGATTAACAATGATTTTGTATATTTTATATACTACATTACATAAGCTAATGGGTCTAAAATGCTTTGGTTTTTTCTGGGTTCTCCCTTTCTGGGATTAGCATTATATAAGTATTATTTAGTTTCTTGGTCATTCTGCCAAAGTGAACAAATGCCTCAATCACTTGAATTACTGATTCTCTAGTAATTTCCCAACATCCCTTAAAGAAGTTGGCATTGGCCATTAGGTCTTGGCGCTTAAAATCACTAATGGAATTTAATAATGCTTCTTTAATTTCTCCCCTCTGAATCTCCTGCCCAAGTCTTTCATTGTCTGCCTCTCACACAATGGGTTAGAGAACCTCTAGGAATTCATCACCATTTCCGGTTGTTCCACTTTGTTTATTAGAGTTGGGTTATATATAATTGTTGTCTCTATTTTGTAGCTTACAAATTCTATTCGTCTACTTCCTAATGAACGATGTCAGGTGAAAGAATCTGGTATTTTCATCTCCACTTTGGAGCCAGTTTAGTTTGAGCTCAACATACCTCTTTTCTTTTTAGAAATTATAAGTCTTTTTTGTAGTGCTCTCTCACTTTTCCATATGATATTATTTTTCCCATGTTGTCCTTTTTGGATTTGACTTAATAGACCCATAATTATTCTTTTTTTTTCATCAATATATTTCCAAATTTCAGCTGATTCAAGATTCTTTTTTTGCAAGTTCTCTAGTCTTAGCAATGTACTTCCCATGTACTCTTTATAACCCTTTATTTCATTTTATTTTTTTTATTGAGGGGTCAAGTTTCCACATGGATTTAAATAATCTAAACAGCTTTAGGCCCCAATTAACTTTGTTTGACATTGTAAGTAATAGTAGGGCATGATCCAAGCTGAGAAAAGGTAGATGATCGAGTGTTGCTTCTGTAAATCACACCCTTTACTTACTCTTCATTTGAAAGCACCCTGTCGAGTTTTTCAAAAAGATTTCCTCTCTTTCACAAAAATTTTCTCCCTTTGGCTTCCATTTCATCTCCTTCAGTCTGGTTGACCTCCTGGTCCTCATCTTCTTCTCAGTAAGTATTGCTCTTCATCATCCCCTTTGGTCATCGGATCTTCGTCTTCCTCATTATTGGCCCCATCACTCCCACCATTGAACATTCGTGCCTTAGCTTTCCTTGAAGTGTTGGTATTTGAGTCTAAATTTTTCAACTTGCGAGGGATCACTTTGGTCCAACCTTTCCCACTCTTGGGTTTCTCTAGCTTGCTTTTTGAGCCACATTGCATTGCTTTGTGGCCAAGTCTTCCATAGGTCATGCAAAGATTAAATATGTTTTGGTAGAGAGCCTTATACATTGTAGTTTGTCCTTCTATAGAGATTGGAATCTCGAAAATGAAAAGGAGCCCATAGGATCACATTCACACAAACTCTATCAAATATTGGTTGGTCCTGAGATAAAAGTATTCTCATCAAGATTAATCAATGGTCCTATATCGGCCAAGATCATCCTTAGTTTAGAATTCAAGAGGAAGACCCGAGATACAAATTCATAGATCCGATCTACTCAAGTGATGATGGAAGGGGTTGAACCCTAGGTAACCTTGGGCCCTTACTAAGGACAAACTCATTGTCAGGTGTAACCTTGTCCCTTCCATCCCGACACGCACAAGAAATGGAGAAAGGAGGAAATATGCATGGCATTTTTAAGGCATTCAACTATATGGGTTTCTTGGCTCAAATTTCTTTCTCCACAGCTTGGGTTGGGCTAGTGCTTGTGAGACAGTCCCATAGATGGGTTGTAGCCCATTGTAAATCTTATACATTGTCTCTGCTAGACTTGTACAACTTGGACTAGTCAGATATTCATGTCTCACCTAATGGAATACCAAACACTGGCAATGACTATACCAAATAGTCATCAAGTTGTTAAGCCCAATGACATCAAGGAAGAAGAATTCATCAGGCTAAAGCAAACAGTACCATAAGGAAGAAGAACCATTGAACTAGTGCTATTGTTTTAAATGGTGGGTTTGGAG